ACAGCACTTTTCTACAAAAAGACATATTCAAAGTTTGGAACAGTAGCTCAATAAAGGATAACACTCACTGCTAATTCAGAGCAATTCATGTGAAATAATGTGATTAGTTTTTTGCAGCAACCAAAAAGTTTTTTGGAAACACTGCTGGCAACATTCTGCTGCATATTTCCTTTAAGTGTGGGTGTGCATAAATTATATAATTACTGACTAAAAAAAGATTTACAACAGGAAAGACCAGGTCTATATTGTTGAATGGCCATCCAGAATTACCCTGAGTTGCCAGCTCTTCAATGTAGAGGTCGTCCTACTTGGCATCTAACAAGACATTGGTTTGTTTATAATCTCTCAGCATGGTAGGAGTTATCAATGCTTTGCAGAGAAATACCTCTGGTGCATTTACTCTGGTTACATTCATATGTAATGTACTTGGTAAAAAATGGGACTGTGTGTGTGAATGACACCCATTAACACTGGCAGGATGCAGTCAGCACCTAAAGGACTCACCCAGACCTCCTGTCCTGCAGATGTCGAGTTGTTTGAGTTGCTCTCCACAAAGATAAGATGTGTAGCTGTGAGGTACAGCGTGCCATTTGTGGATTTGTTGCTGAAGCGATCGAGTAGTCGCACCTGCTCCACCTGCAAATACACACACACAGACAGCACAACTTAAATCATTATTGGCCAGCAGTTAGTAGACAGATTTCTTCAGCTGGTATGGGCAGGATTTTCTGAAAACGAGAAGGCAGGATTTTGCTAACAAGACTGAAACCTGGCAGACATTTATCAACGGGCATTTCTTGGCACTAAAGCTCCAGCTGGCAGCACACCTAATCCTGACCACCTGGGCCGAATGTTCAGCTGCCAGTTCCAAACTAATGAGAATAACAAGTGATGTCTGCACCTGAAAAGACTTATAAAGTCTTATTACTGTATTTACTGGATGTTTTTAACAAACGTCATGCGCAAAGTTATCTGATTCATCTCATATCAAACAACTCCTGTTTCATCTCAGTTAATACACTACTCATGCAAAGTTTCTTACACACACAGAAAGGGTCCCATGGATACTCTCAGTTAAATATTGACATAAGTCACACTTTGTCAAGCAGGAAAATGGTCATGGTCCACAAGCGCCAATAAAAAAAAACCCATTTGTAATACCTTTGGTTGTCAAAACAAGATTTGCCAGAAAACCAACAGTCCAAGATAAATGCACTTCATCAATGTATTCGCTTTATTATATCACAAAATAAACACATCACAGGTTCTAAAAAGTTATTTTCCAACATGTCAGATGTTCATTCTAAGGACCTGTCTTAAAGATAGTGTTTAATACTTCCTGTAATTTGTAATTCTTTGAATATACACGTGCAATGGTGTGTTGCATTCTTCTCAAATCCTTGAAATTAAGACATGTGCTTTCTAATGACTGTTACTTACTAATGATTTACTTTCTGGTGCCAAAAGGAATTAAGAATGCTGGCACTGCGAAAATTCCCAAATCCATGATTCATCAGACTAGAGCTCTTGTTGACTCAGACATCCTCTCCCTTATTTCAGCTTTCCTGTTATTCTCAAATACGATTGAATGAATGACGCCAGCTCTGTCACCCTGTATCCTGCACTACACATCTCTCGTCAGTGACACATTTCTTTGCAGGCTAAATTAGTATTTTTCTGCAAGAATGGAGAATTGAGTTACTCTTTCAAAAAAAAGTTGCAAGAGATAACGTTTACTGAGACGATCTCAGCTATCCCAAAAACACTTGCATACAAAATATTCACTCCATAGCTCAAAAGTCCGTATTGAAGAATCTGGTCAGAATCTTTTCAAGTCTAAAATGACTTATTTCTGATGCAAAGGTTATTGCGTGAAAAAAAACTGACGGCAGCATTCTGATTTACACACAGTGAAAACATTTGTTCACATTTCAGAAATGCAACAATGCCCTCCTCTGCAGATTCATTCAAGCAAACAACTGAAAGACTTCAGACAGTGAGGCAACACCCAGTCTGCAACCACGCCCTCCTGAGCCCAGCATATCCCAGTGCTTCATAGTGCAATATTATACTGGAGCTTCAAAAATGACACAGGTGACACTACATTTTCAAAATACACATTCCCAAAAAATGATGTACATCAATAAAATAGGTGTAGGCCTTTAAGAAGTCCCTGAACATGAAGTGTGCTCTAAATTCAAAAGACACCTGAATATTCAATCCTGTAGTCTGTGTCGACAGTCACAGATTCTTTTCTTTGTTGCCTACAGGTGTATACGTCCACACTGGATAAACAGAGAGTACAAACTGTAGCCTTCTCTATTCATAGCAATCACTTGACTTAATGGGCCAGTGCACATCTTATCTTTCCTGGGCCAGACCTCTAATGTATATCTTGAAAAATCTCAGGTTCATCATTAAAAAGCATTAGCAACACTGCAGCCTGAAGTCTCAGGCAGGAATGATAGGGTATCAAATGTCTTATACAAAAGAGTGCTTTACAGGTTAAAAATGCATTAAGGAACGTTGATTAGCAACAGGATATATTAACACATTTCCCTACGCCTGTGTCAATTCATTTCAGCTCTGTGGAGTGGACGAGTTCAGAGGCCTGGCCCAGGAAAGTTAAGATATGCACTGGCAAAGCTTTTAGTCTGGTCTGTTCATGAGCTAATGACTAATCGCCCCCTCTGTCACTATTTCTTTCTTGAGGGCCCGTGGGATACAACACATTTAAGTATCATTACAGTAATGTTCAAAATGTCACGACCCTGTAAACAGTGAAATATAACCCCATGTGTGTCAGAAAAGTGTCACAGTAACTAATGAATACATCAACAACTAACATAAAGAGGCAGACAGCATGTAGGAGTACTAAAGGCATGATTTCCATAGTCATGGAAGTAGATGCCAGACTTAGTCTCAGTCTGGAAAAATGGCATCCCCCTTAATGTTGTGAAATCTCTTATTAGTCAACCGGTTTAGGCTGTTATGGAAGATTTGTGGGGTTAGGTCCCCAACTAGGTAATTCATTTCTTCATAACAGTGACAACACAAGTGGTGCTGAAACAATCGTTAGGTAATTTGTGTTTTTTGTTGAGTAATTCACATTTACTTCTCTCTCTGTATGTTATTTGACTGATGCATGGTTAATAGAAACCACTCACGAATAAAAAGGATAAAGTAAATGAAAGAGGTTATCAAGTTAAGACGTTTCATTTGGGGTTTCCCTGAAATAAATAAAAACATCTCTCTCCGCATGAAGTTCTGCACAACACAAAGATTAGACAGTCTGATGCTCAACAGTCTCCTCTTGATGTTCGATCACACTGATAGTGTGACATTAACTCAATCAATAATGGGACGTGGAGATAGTGGCGTTAGCATTAAAAGAGGAAGCTCAGCTATCTGCTGCACCGGAAAAGCAAAACAGCTCATTGATGCTCGTCACGTCTGACACTTCAGGCTGCTGGAGACACCTGCTACTCGTCATTCTGTTATATTGATCCTCAAATGTTCAGTCTAAACATTGCTACCTTGCAAACGCTCCCACACTTAAGTATTACAAAACAGTCACCAGAGCACAGGCCGAGCTACTGACTGTACCCCATCCCATTAGCTATACATGTTAGCTACCTTAGGAGTGCGGATGTGCTCCATGTCTCCGAGTCGACACCTGTCAGCGACTGCAAAGCCTCAAACGACTCCTCTGTATGATAACTGGATCATTGATAAGCTGATATCTCACACTGCTTTACAGACAGCTGCACTTTGACGGAGGCATACGATATGTGTTTATTGTCAATTATTCACTCCTCCATCCGCGTAAAGGTCACGACAATCACGACAACATGTACGGTGTAGGATTTTCAAAGTAAAAGCATGAGCTTCTGCAGGTACTTCGATAGTAGGCCGCAAGGAGATCTGACTTACTGTTTAAACTTGTTGTATGTGTACTTGAAAGTTACCTTGCTTTGCACTATTTAATAAGTAAGATGCCCTAAATAGCCTTTGTGTCATACATTCATTTCTAACCTTTATATATTCTCAGAGGAAATTGAGGCTTCCATTATTTCCAGTGCAGTTGAGATAACAGGGATATTAAACAAACAAGTTAAACACACACATAGGCCTACGATCAATTACGAAAACTATAGAAATCAATTAAATATTTACAATCAGTGGCTAGAAATCCAAATGTCCAAAGATCTTTCATTGTTAAAGTTTGCTGGTGGGCGTTCAATGAGCTTGGGGCATCAAGGGAAAATGCAGTTTTACCAAGTTCAGTGCAAGCTCAAGGGACTTAAAGAACTAGCTGTCGAACGGGTCGTCAAAGTTTCATTTGGAAGTAATACAGGATTTTTGGGCCTAATAGATTTTATCTCCCAGTTCCTACAAGAATTTAGCTCACGATAAGGAAACAAATTGAGGTGTTGCTCAAAGACACCCTACTATTTCAGGTTAAAATATTATGATATTAAAAAAGAACATTGTGTTGGCCTAATTAAACACTGTTACAATCCATGGTTGTGTGATAGCCAAACAGTGAACCTGAAACCTTCAAACTCCCTTGGGGTCTGGAGAGATTGAGCACTTTCAAATCAACCCAAATTGGTTAATCCAGGCATGGATTTGATATAATAGATATATAAAAGATAGGCTATATAAAGTGTACAAAGTTAAAAGCAAAAAAACAGATAAGGGGGTTGAAAAATATAAATTATTCATAGATAAGAAAATAATAATAATAATAAAGCTTTCATAATAAAAGTGATAGTTTAGTTAGCAAGAACAAAAAGAAGAGTCAGTTAGTGAAACTGAATGGTGCCTTGTTTTACAAACAAGCCTTTTATTTAGTCTTTTATTATGAAAAATAGACCGGAACCTTTATTGACGTTTTTGTCACTGACCAAAGATGGCACATTGCGCATGTCTGAAGCATCACGCGACACAAAAAAAGTAATGGGGGACGACGGGAAATGCAGTTGGGATAAAAGATTACCCGAAATGCAACAGCATACGGGGGAAATACCAGGCGGGGAATAGGAAAAGTAGCACCATGCGAGAACATCTCTGCGTTCTTTTGGCAGCTTTAAGTTTCTAAAAACGAGAAGAATAGAGTCTGAAAACACTCAGGACTGCAGCGGAAGTCCTCGATGTTTTGAGTGGTCGAATAGTTTGTTTATAAATGTTTGAGAGGAGACGAGACAGCGGATTTGGCCCTCACGCCGGAGCCTATCAGAGCTAACGAGTTAGCTGTGATGCTGGGCTGTACGCAGAGCATGTGAAGCTGAAGTGCAGATAGCCTTTTTGTATTAAATGTGTGCCCTGATCTGATAACATGTCGGGCTTTAACTTTGGAACGGGAACTCTTGGTGTCGCCAACGCTGGAGGCGGATTCGCATTTGGGGCCGTAACCAGGTAACGACACAATTCACATCTGAGCTAACGTTAGCATAGCCGGACCAAACTTAAACACGTAGCCAGAGTCTAAGTCTCAACACGTTGATGAAGCACACTAGTAGAAGTATGGTTTGTTGTTTGTTGTTAAGCAAGCAATCTCACTAAAGCAAGTGTCCTTGAATACTTTAAAGTGCACCGCTCTGCACACACCTGGACTAAATCTTCCTTTTTCCACTTCCCATCTGCACAGCTGTCCCAAGAGTCAGCCTCTAGTTGGACACTTTAATGATCACCTCAGTTACTTAAATCACACCTTTAATTTAATGTCTGCACTGCCTGTTATTTAATGTCTGTTTTTGATAACTTTGCACGATCTGCTTTTTTAAACATTGCATATATATACATATATAAACAACACAACTTCAGAAGGTCAACACTTTTCATATTCAGATTTAATTTAATCACAGATTTTTTCCTCAACTGTTTATAGGTTCTTCTTTAAATTGCACTTATATTTTTATGTTCACTTATGTACATTCCTTGTATAAGTCTATTTTTAATTGCACAGTTTAAGTTTGTTTCATCTAGAGGTATTCTTTAAACCTTTTTCAGGTTAATATATATGTATGGGAGGGGGTCGGTTTTGTGGTTTAATTTGTAACAAATGTCTCATGTCATGTACGGCTTTGTAACCGGCTACTGGATGCTTTGAATTTCCCTCGGGATCAATAAAGTATCTATCTATCTATCTATCTATCTATCTATCTATCTGTGTGGTGTGTAGTTTCCTCTTGTCTTATTAACAGTCAGGAGATTTAGCATTTTATCAATATCTTTTAGCAGAGAAATATAAGATAACGTAGCTGTTACTTTGATCCACCAACGTATAGGGATGCAGGTGGTCAAAACAATGTTTAAGAACACAAAATGAGGAAGGCATGTCATTTTTGTATTGATGGTCTGTTTAGCAGATCTTTAAAAATATAGTGTGAAAAACTGTCCAGTTTGCATAACTGTAAATTATAGGCTATTTGCTTTTTTGGATTTCTACTTGACTCTGGCATGGTGACATTACTTAACGTCGCTGCTTTTTGCCTCTTCAGTGCACCTGCGGCCAGTACTGGTGGTTTCTCTATCGGAGCAGCTCTGGGTACAGCAGCTCCAAACCCTGCTGCAGCCATGACCAGCACGACCCCATCCCTTGGCCTGGGAGGAAGTCTCTTTGGTCAGAAACCTACTGGAGGATTCTCTTTCAACACACCTGCATCAAGTAATAGATGTACATGTTTACAAAAAATAAATAGAAAGACGTAACATAAATTCCTTTATAATTGGCTCTGGTCTTGCTATGTCATCCTCTTTTAGGCGCTGCTCCTACGACAGGCCTCACATTAGGTAAGTCTGTATTCCTTGTGTATTTTTTAACTACCATCTTCAAAAAACAATGAAAACAGGTTTAAACCTTGATTTCTTCAATTATGTTTTCTCAGGTGCCCCAGCCTCATCAGCTGCATCCACTGGCTTCAGCTTGGCCTTTAACAAGCCCACCGCCTCAGCAACACCCTTCTCCCTCACCGCTGCTACCACCGCCACATCAGCCCCTGCAGGGGCAGGTTTATCATTTGGCTCTGTCCTGACGTCTACAGCTCCTCAGCAGCCTGCAGCAGCAGGCTTCACCCTCGGCCTTGGTGGCACAACAACCACAGCAGCAGCCTCTGTAGGCCCATCTCTGGGTGGGGGTCTCTTCTCCAGTACTATGGCTTCAGGTGACATGGAAACAGCCTGAGCTTGTCAACATGGAAATATGTGATGATCAAGTCATGTCTGATCATTGAGTTAGAAGTAGTTGTCAATCTTTACATTTCTCCACAGTACTACAACATACTTTTTTCACTTGATGTTGCAGGTTTGGGTCAGACTCTTGGAGGTGCTGGTGGGTTAACGTTAGGCTCTCTGCTGGCTACCTCCACAGCGGTATCAGCAGCACCTGCCCCCAGCCTTGGCCTGGGTGGAGTAGACTTCAGCACTTCATCTGAGAACAAGAGTGATACATCATCTGGAGCCAATGCTCAGTAAGGCTAACTGACAATCATGCCTATGGTTCTTCACTAAATGTGAATGATAGTGCAACAGTTCACATCTGTCCATATTTTATTTTAAGAAAGTGTAATTAACTTTTTACTAAGAGGCATTAAGTAGCTTCCTATCTTGTTGACTTACATCTGATCAGCAGGCATATAGTCCATTTTTTTGTAATAATGAAAAACACTCTCTTTCTCTCCCTCAGGGACAGTAAAGCTTTAAAAGATGAGAACCTGCCACCAGTCATTTGTCAGGATGTCGAGAATTTCCAGTAAGTGTGTTTGTGTGTGTGTATTTTGTCAATGGTCATTGTGTCACCACGAGCCAGTGTATATTGTTCAGTTAGATCTGGCTTATGTGTTTAAAAATGATCAAAGTGTTGTTGATAAAGTGAGCAGGATTATAGAACCATAAAGCATGACATCTATTTATCTCATGAAGTGTGTGGTTATGTACCACAAACACAATTAAACCACAAATAACATGGCAATTATTTTTTTTATTTGTATTCATTTAAAAAAAAAAAAAATACAAATACTTGGTGCAAGGCTGATATTGTGTTTCAGGAAAATGCTTTGCATTGTCTGAATTGTATCTAATGGTCTGTCTCCCTTCTTTTATAGAAAATTTGTGAAAGACCAGAAACAGGTTCAGGAGGACATCAGCAGGATGTCATCGAAGGCCATTTCAAAAGTCCAAGATGACATCAAGAGCCTGAAACAGCTTCTTTCTGTCAGTGCCAGCGGCCTGCAGCGCCAGGCTCTGGCCATCGACAAGCTGAAGCTGGAGACAGCACAGGTACCAAAAAAAAAAAAAAAGGCAGTTTGGTAGACACAAGCTTAAATGTGAGAAGTTACATGAGCCCACGTTCTTTTAGTCCTGTTGCACAAGTTTCATACTGTTAAAGGTCCATTGTCAACAAGATTATATCTCGACACTTGAATTCATCAAATGCAGTAAAGTGGTCCACATGGTCCAATATTTGTAAATGGACACATTCTGTATGTATAGCCTAACATAACATATATAGATCCACAGTTTATCCCAGTTCTTAATCAATCTGGATAGTTGTCCAAATTATTTTCTAAGGTGTTGCTAGAGACCCTTTCTTGCTCTTTCAAAAATCAGTTTAAATAAGAAGAATTTAGTTGCCTAGATTCTTAACTGAATCTGTTGCTTAACATGAAATTCAAATTTGGAACATTATTTCCAGGAAGATATATCCAGGCCTATCTATCTTTGATATCCTCTGACCTTTCTTCTTAAGGAGCTGAAAAACGCTGACATCTCACTGCGTACACAAAAAACTCCCCCTGGACTTCAACATGAAAATACTGCCCCATCAGAGTAAGTTTTCCCAAATTAGAGCTGAGTAGTGCTATCATACATGTATAATATTTCAAGTCACAGGGTAAACTGTATGTCAGGTGTTTTTTCCACTTCATGGATTTGAAGGAAATTAACTTGTGTATATTTTGTGTTTAGTTATTTCCGAAGCCTTATCGAGCAGTTTGAAGTGCAGCTGCAGCAGTACAGGCAGCAGATAGAAGAACTGGAGAATCACCTGACCACACAGAGCAGTGGCTCCCACATCACGCCGCAGGGTAAGAGGACTTTTATGTGACTTTGTTATAAAAAAGAAAACTATTTGCTCATAGCAGAAAATTGCAGATCAGTTTGGAACCAATTTAAACACTGATCACGATTAAAGAATAGTGCATATTTGAAGATTTTCAACATCACTGGTCTTGATTTCTGATTTTCCCCCTTTCTCTCCTTCATCTACTCAGATTTCCACAGCGAACATAACATTGTCTATGTTGTTTTTTCCAGACCTGACTTTGGCCATGCAGAAGTTGTATCAGACGTTTGTGGCGCAGGCTGCCCAGCTCCAGTCTGTCCATGAGAATGTGAAGGTTAGTTCTGTTCTTCCAGCTTGGTCTGAAAATGACGCAACATCCTCATCAACTCAGCACAGCTTAAAAATTGTGAAACAAATACTTTTTAAAATCTGTAAAGATCATGTGAATTAAATTCTCTTCTTCTGTCGTCCTGTGTTTATATCTGATGTGGCAGATCTTGAAGCACCAGTACCTTTCCTACCGCCGGGCCTTCCTTGAAGACTCCACAGATGTCTTTGAGTCCAAACGGGCGTCTAACAGGAAGTGGCAGACTGCGCCTCGAGTCACGACTGGGCCCGCCCCATTCTCCAGTGTGCCCAATGCTGCAGCGGTTGCCATGGCAGCCACGTTGACCCAGCAACAGCAGCCAACTCCAGGTCTGACTGCCTACAAGTTCTAGAAAGTTCTCCGCCTCTCACCTTAAAAGAAAGGAGAGACACATTTAATAATACATTTTGGAAAGGACAGGATGTGTTCATTTTGCGTTTGTATTATTATTTATTTTATTATTTTTAAAGAAGTCACTTGTGATAGGTGAAAGGTCAAAAGGAGACGGATGGGGATTTGAAATAATTAAAAATGAGCCTTAGCGTGTGCCAAACTATAGTCTCTGTATTCCATATAAAGAGAGAGAGGGATGGAGAATCCTTTTAGCTGCCTTTACCATCTTGACTCTGACCTTCAGTTCAAGGGTTGGACTCATTTATCAAATACGCCTTACAGAAATACAATGAGCACGTTCTATAGGTAGCTCCAGTGAACACCAGAATCTGCCAGTCTTGATGCCAAGCAGATACACATACAAAGACTTTGAAGCATAAGCAGGCGTAAGTTAACTGAAAACACTCTTCTCTATGTGCCATCTCCAGTAGGATGTTAGGGCACGTACGTTAGGCTGACATCAATGGAGAAATTATACAATGATATAGTCCAGTTATCCCAATTTGACTCACCTAAAGATATAATTACAGCCTCTACATCTCATTGTAGTAAGGAATCTTTTTCATTATTATCCAATGGATGCTTGAAATGAGCCAACTTGATGAAGGTTGTTGTGTTAAGCATTTACTGTGTGATTTAGATGCACTTAGTGAACATTCATGCTCTGAATGAGGAGGCAGAATTTTGGGTTCATCTGTTGATGATTGTTCAATATTTTATACGATTTTGCCTGGGTAATGAGTAGGTGTATAAGATGTAAATTTATTGTATTATTGTAACACCTACTCTCCAGTCAACCTGTAAAGAAGTCTCTACATTGTAGAGAAGCCCCCGATTGATTAGACACCCAGTCAGTGACAGGACTCCTGAACATTTTTATGTACTGAATTTCTAAGGTTTGTGTCGCCATTGTTTATGGAAGCATGCAGCTTCTCTTATTCAAGGCCTTACAAAGAAGGCCCAGTTTTAAACACACTCTAAATATTTCAACTGTTGCATTACATCAACTTGTATCTAAAATAAAAAACAGCCAGTCCTATTATCAATAAAGTAATGTAAGCTATAGTGGTTATATGTAAACTATGACAACAACATACTATATATCCAGTATATCCACACTCTGACAGTAAAAACAACTATATTAATGACGAGTAATCTTCACAGTATTTATATCACGTCAGAACAGAGAGGGAAGACTATATGACACATTTCTTACTCGGACATTAGAATGTCAGAGGTGTGTTGGTAACTCAACACTTGTCAGGACTTGGTAAAAGAAATGCTCCAGGACGAACCGTGTAGTGATGTTACAACATAAACTGAGGAAGTTACTTTTGTTTTACTCACCTCAGAACTCAATGGCACACAAATGTCCTTTTTTATTACACATTTTTAAACTAAAGTAAGTCTTTTAAAGAGGAGTGTCCATTATGATTGTTGCCACATCTCTGAGGTGTTCAAAATGTTCAGCCTTTTTTGTAGGCTTTGGTTTGTAGGCCATTTTACAGGCGTCTCAGTGCACTCACTTACAATGAACAAACTAAGCTACTATGTAAATAAGCATGTTTCTGCTTTCTCTCTCTTTTTTTTTTTTGTAAAACAAAATAAATTGCGGATTTAATTCAAAAGTCTGAAAGCAATATTCAAAATTGGACCAAGTTAAAAAAGCAGCATGACTTAAAAGTACTCAAATGGCAAATTATTTAAAAAAAATAAAAAATAACCCTTCTGCTGCTTCCTTTACACCTAAACGCTCAACACCGCATCGACTGTTATTAGATCTGATGGCAACTAGTTGTTAGCCAGACTATGAATGTGACACTTCAGTGTAATCATATTTAAACATTCACATGCATTTGATAGCTTGGCAGGACATGCAGGAGCTGTTCCAAACATGTCATGTTTTTCTAAGTAAATGCCAAGAAGGGATGGGAATATTTTACTAAGCCATTCTTTGAACACTATTTTTCTAGGATAAGCCCTTCACAAACGAGCCCTGTTGCACAGTAGTTAAGATCAGATCCACTTATGTGGCACAAGTGCACACTACCTTTGTGGTGCCTACTAAGGATTTATTTTTCTTGACCATTTTTCATTTCATACAAAGCCAAACACATTTCTGGTCCCCTGGTTACCCCATGTACTGCTAGCTGTCCAAAAACAGACTACTTTTGCCGAAACGTTCTAATTCATAGCTTTGCTGGCTCATTTATCTTAGAGGTTGGCACAAGGTTGAAAGATTTCTTTTATTTTTTCATTGTGATACTACCTAGCAAATTCCCATCCTTGTTGCCAAATAGTGGTTATTCTCTAGTATTTGACTCAGTCATTTCATAGACTAAGCCTAAAAACCAGTGGATATCTTGGTCATTTCAGTATTTATTTACCTATTTATTTGTATTTTATTGTGTGATTTAAATGAGTAACCTTCCATGACTGGAAAGGTATATTGGAGGTGGGTCAGTATCACAGCACATACAACTCCAACCATTGCAGCTGGGTGGTGTTACTTCAGCCAGATTGTTTGAGCCCAGGTAATGTAATGTTGCAGGTGTTGATTGTATTAGCTAAAAGTTTGTACAGATGTGGGCCTCAGTGGACATGAGGTGAGAGGTGCCAAAAGACTTTGGACTGAAGTACGAACTGTTAAATGGCCTGAAGTGATTATTTGAACTTTAAAAATTGTCTTTCAGTGACTGCACTTATTTGGTCTTTAGGTGAAAGGAGGCTGATATACTCTGTGAAAGAATAATCTGATTTATCTTAAATTAAGTTGGTTTGTTTGTTTGTTTAAGGCGTTTTACTTTTTTTGCTTTTACTTGATTTTTGCTAATTCACCAAGGGCTACTGTCGGTGTCACAGGGCTGGGATCATTTCACATAGCAGTTAAACTAATTAAAAATGTCAAGTGCTGTTCACAAGTTGCTATTTCAGGTATTTTATCCAAGGTGGTGATATTTCATTGGAAAATTGCATTTAGAGAGGTTTGTTGGCCGTGTGGATAATCTTTCTATGGGTCTGACTTCTCCTTTTGCAGTTCAGCAGTAATGATTGACACAGTCAGGCTGTCTTTATTTAGTGGGTTGTTATTTCCCACAAGGATTCAGTGTTGCTTGGTGTTGGACACAGGTGACCTTTTTGAGGACAGAAAAGTAGTTGTGGTTTTTTTCTTCTATATATTGCTGCTAGTTACAGTTGTCCTCAAACCTAACTGATTACTTCTTGATGGAGCAGCCGCATATGATGAGAGAAGCTGCTGCTGGTGACGATTCAGTCCTCTGTCGATGTACTCTGAACTTTTTGTTGGATTGAGAAGCCGAGCTTTGGCGTCTGTAAGATTCTCAAGTTGTCCAGAGTTTTGACTTTTGTCTAGTCACACTTTGTCTTCCGCATTCCAGTCACAACAAAGACGATGAAAAACTATTGATCAAAGTTGTTTAGACCTTGAACTGGATAGTAAACTAAGCCAACATGTTGGTCATCATATTCTCAGTAATGTTCATTCGTATGTATGCAAATGCTGATTGCTAAACCAACAGCAGGAACGACCCCCTTTTTACCTCTTTTTTTTTTTTTTTTTTTCAAACAAGTGAAGGAATTTAATGTGATTTTGTTGATTGTTTTATTCTTGATGGTTGGCACAGTACTAGCACCACAATTTTACCTACTGTGCTTAACTTTTTTGAGCTCCCTGATTTTATTGAGTTGTGTGCATATTTTAATATTTTTCTGCTTGAGTTTGAGCCTCAGAACAGTAGTTCTCAAAAACAGACCTGATTAGTCAAATCCAGAAAGTCAGATGATTATCTTTTGATGTGATTGGCTGCTACAGACTGTTTTGAATGTTCTTATTCTTTGCCAATTCATTTCATTGAACCTTTATCAGATGCTTACATTTTTTGCGTGTTTCGAGTGGATTTTTCTAGAAGTGGCCTCCTTGAGGTAAAACTATTGCAAGTTGTTTTTTTAACACCGAAATCTGAGTATAGGCTTGTATAAAAAAAAAACACTAGGCTGATGAGTGTCTTACAATATGTTAAACAGCCACCTCACCTAAGTACGACTTGATCAAACTACGTAAAGTGTTAATAACAATTGTCACATAATTCAAAGGTGTAGCTTTTGTGTGCTAAAACATTACTACTCAATAAGAAGTTGCCTGTCTAACAAACACTGCTAGGTGTTCCAACACAAACCACAAAGGTTGTTACACTCCTCTTTGAAGGATTGAAAGAAACTTGACCACATTGACTTCCACAGGCAGAGTGTACCATATCACTGATTTCCCCTGTTTACACTGAGGCAGCCATAGATGCCAAATTCACATTTCTTTTTTAAATCTCGAGTGCTTTTACTTGTAGATGAATGTGTTTCAACTTATATAACCAATGCCTGTTGATACAGTATATTTAATATATAATATGGTGTGCCTTTTTAAGCTATATTCAATAATTGTGTGATGCTTTTTTTTTTTCTTTTTTTTTTGGCGTATGCTAGTTCATTCACTCTCAGAAATCTTGAAAAATTGGAAACTTGTCAAATTCAGTAGCAGTTAGCAATTAACAATCAATTCTGTTCTAAACTGTTTGTTTGTGTTTTATGTAAGTGGAATTGCATATTAAATTGACAATAAATCAGTTTTTAAACAAAGAAACGTTTGTCCGTGTTTCTTTCTCGACTGAATATGTTTTAACAATGCAGACTAATTGGAAGCCCTGCAAAATTTGATAAGATAAAAATATTACATGTAGGTTTAAAAAAAGACAAGTTTCTGAGTGAAAGAACTAGCTGCACGTATGCCAGTTTTTAATAGATACAACTACTGCTTATAACTGTGATCTTTAAAGTCTATACAAAATACCGTTTATACACATACATTTACGTTCTACAGTTATGGAAGGGATTGTGCTTTGCTTATATATCTAAATCACCATAAAAGGGTTTTAAGGGTAGTTTCATAATTGCTAGAATATTTGGATTGTCCTGCAAACTAAATTTTATAAGACAAGCATTTAAGGTGCTTAAAGGTCACATATTGTGCAAAATACACTTTACAATGTTTTTCAACACTAATGCGTGTCCCTAGCCTAGGCTGTTTGGGAAATGTTCCCTTCATGACATCACAAAGGGCAGTAGCCCCTCCCCCAGGAGGTGGGTGACACTCCCACAGCTAGGTGTTTGTTCTGCCCTCTGAGTGCCTTATCACCGTAAACAATAGGACAAGAAAGCCAAAGCTACCCAAGTCCTTCCAGAGAGGAGGCGTGGTCAGACACAGCTCATTTACATATTTAAAGGTACAGACACAGAAAAGGCCTGTTCTGAGCAGGGCTGAGAGAGGGGTTTATAGGCATGATCAAATACAGGATCAGAGTGGATTTAGAACAAGAAACTTCACAGACATGTTTTATGGGAGCTCTGAGACTTATTTAAACTTTTTGAAAGAGTATAATATGTGACCTTTTAAGGTAATTTTTACACATTTTATTGAAAGCATTCTGTTACTTTTATATCCATTTTAAAACTTTTCATTAACTTTGTGTTAGTGTTTTGTAATTATTTAGAGAGGAATGTGATTTAATTGTAATTTGGTAGCTAAGTATACGTGTACAGTATAACAATGGTGCGAGTGCTACACAATGTGTCCTTAACATATTTTAACCAGCTCGTTTCTATGAAAGAAAGATGATGAGCATATTTTATCCACTCAAAACACATTCAGAGGAGTAAACCATATGCCCTCTCTGTGCCTTAGGGACCCAGGCACCCTTGGGGGCAGGGTTTGGAAACCCCTTTGCCTCGGCAGTGGGCACTAGCTTGGGCTCTTCTACCCTTGGAGGTATTACCCCTGTCTTTACTAAATGAATATTCCCTTCCACTTTGCCCTCCCTCCTCACCTCCTAGCTCCTGTATGAAAGTAGTAGTGGGAAGTGTGTATGTGTTTGATTAAAGTGGTGCAGTCAATGCTTGGCGGTTTGTTTTCTGTTTTCCTTCTGTGAGAGTTGGAAGTGCGTTCACACCACTAGAAGAGTGAGCAATGACTTACCACAATGCTCTATACTTTTACACGTTACTCATTGGATAATTTATTTCTTTAGTGAGAGGAGAACACCCAAAATATTCACAAGGGTGTGATACTAACATTTTGTCCTCTCTTAGTCTTAGGATCACAACAGCCATTTCAAAGTAACTTGGCAGTGTGGGCATAGGTGGTCTGAACGCACACAAAGTCGGTGTGTTCTCTTGTAGTTGGTGTGTTTGGTTAAATCTTCCCTGTGTTGTTTTTTTTTCTCCCTTTGGCCTTTGCTTTTCCATACAGTTTACTTTGAGTCATCTTTCGCCGTCACCATTCAGCTGTGTGTAGTGCTATATTGACTAGATTGTGGCATTTGTTTTGCTTTTTTTTGCTATTGCCTGCCTGTGCGTTCTCCTGAGGCACTGCTGCTTGTATTCATTCCTACTGCGGGCTGTTTGTTTAGCCCATACTGACTTGAATGTAACTCTCTCCCACAGGTTTTGGTGGTGGGCCAGGATTTGGTGGGGTGGGGACTGGGGGGTCTTCTTTTGCCTTCTCCTCCACCAGTAAGCCCACAGGAGGCAGTCTGAGTGCAGGTACATACATAATGTATATACCCCCCCTCTTCACTCGCAGAGCCAAATTCAAATAGTTTTCAGTTAGAATAGGCTTGTGTTTGCAAGTTTACTTCACAAACTGAGATTTTTTTTTCTCCCCCTGAGAATTCGCTATCAGAAAAACAGTTGAAAAATCTTCTTGTAAACATAGTGTCAGGTTACTCTGAGCTTCAAAGAAAATTGAAGATATCTGACGGGTTTTTCCGATGTCCTGTCTGATGGATGAAGACTTCGGCAGCATCATCATCCTCGCAAAGCTTTGTTATTCTTTTTGAAAAGTCACTGGCAGTTTTGCCAAAAAAAGGCTGTAGGTTATGGGGTTTTAACACCAGGAGAAACTAATCTGTCCACAGCTCAACAAATGCTGGAACCTGTATATCAAATGGAAATCTTTTACATTTCTCTCTTATTACTATCTTTTTTCATTACTGTTTTCACTTTAATATCTTATACTTTCCTCTTTCCTGCCTCTTCTGTTTTAGGTTTTGGTAGCAGCAGCAGCTCAGGCTTTAACTTCAGTAACCCCGGCCTCAACCCCTCGGCCGGCCTGACCTTCGGTGTGTCTAACCAGCAGGCTGCAGGCTTTGGAGCAGGAATGCCCCTCCTCCAGCTCAAGAAACCCCCTGCTGGTAACAAAAGGGGCAAGAGATAGAGCCCTGCGACTGACCAGCTGACCAGCTTTGTGTTTCTAGTGGTTACGGACTGCTCTCCCAAAAGCATATAAATGCTTCCATTATCCAAATAAAGAATGGTAAAGAATTCAGTGAACACATTGAGTAAATCCATAAAGATGAGATCTACCCCACTATAATACAACAACACAGGATCTCCCATTTAATATCATTTATATGTAAAAGATCCTACAGACCAACAATATTTTGATTGGCCTGAGAGTTGCCTGCAGGCTTTAATCTGTGCTTTTGGGAATGCCAGCCATATAGAGAATTGAATAAATCACAAATTGTTCAGTTACCTGTCAGGAATTCCTTAATCTGAATATTGTACACAGTACAGGCAGCGTAGTTGGTTCCATTTTGCTACAGACAAACTCAACCGCATGACTGCACTTGAACGCCTCTCGAAGTGATGACTTAGTCCAGGTCTTGTTTAGGGAAGGTTAAGATACAGTAAAGAGAAAGCCCTAGTTGGTTGGTAACAGCATAGTCCCTGCCCAAAGGTGTCAGTGGAAGGTAATATCTGCTCCTTGATAGTTTTTTAGTCACAGGAGAATGTCCAGGGTGGGTTTTTGGGGAAGCACAGTTTTATTTTTATACCAAGTTGAGAAAGAGATGACATTCTGTTAGGGGTTAAAGGGGACTTGTGTCTTGTGATAGTCCATTATCTAGTCCAAATAACCTGTCTTGATTTTGCTAGAGTCCATCCTTGTCGTTGTTTTATAATTACTTTTTCCAACACACGTTTTCCCCACTGTAAGCACTTTGGAGAGGAAACGCTGTTAATGAAACAAGGCTCCCATTAAATGTTAAATTAGTTGAATTCAAAAGGGATTTCACCAGCAGATCCCAACTAATCCACTCAGTTTATACATGTACTACGATAGTGTTGCGCTTGCCAGTGTATATGACCTGATTGTTTGAATGTGCATGTGTGCTTATTGCACAAGTATGAAATCGTCTCTGGTCTATCATTGTTGCTGAATTGTTTTGAGTGATTGGGGGATGTTCTATTTTTTTTTTTTTTAACTGTCCATATATGTTTGATTACCACATACTGGTAGTTGTACTATTATTTTCTAATCACAGTCTATGTTAACCTGTATTTTCAAGATGCTGTTTAATAATAAAATCTTCAATATGATGTTTTGCCTGTTTGTGGCATCACTTCAATAAATGTGTGTGTTGACATAGAATGATATCTGTCTTTATGTGTTTGTCTAAATGTGTGTCACCTGATTTTAGACAGTTAAAACTATAATAGGTAAAGTGGTAAAATGGAGTTAGTGAACATTTTATTTTAAAAAGTTTCAAAGTAAAATAGTGTGAGCCATACAATTTGACAGCTATCCTGGATAGAACAGGACCGATGAGGCTGGGAGAGGAATACATACATAAAAAAAAAATGCTAATCCTTTAAGTCTAAAATATAGAAGCAGACAATGACTATCACTTTCTAAGAGGTGTTTTAACAGGATCAATTTGATATAAGACTTGAGGGAAACCTGCCTGTAAAAGTTCTTATTTTGTGTGTTTCTGAGTATTATAGCCCTGCAAACACTATGTCCGAAAAAATAAGTCAAATTCAGAATGAATACACGTTTTACTGGCTGAAAGGTCCTTTCTCCTATTTCGACACTCCTAACCAGAAGGGGGCGGTAGTACAGTTCAAACGGTGCACTTTCCTCACCAGAACAAATGAAGAACTCCGTTGCTATGCGACGACGTTGTATTACACACAACAACTGCTTGGCAGAAGTAGCCTAATAGACGATAATTCCTTACCGCGAATTGTCCGACTTTCCAGGTACTGTTACAGTGTAGGATATTTTAAAGTTATTCTGTTAAAAAAAAAAAAAATTGTACCCTACAAAGTGCAATTTCATAGTTAAAATTAAAACGTTTTTTTTATTTTTCTGTTTTGTTTTTAGTAACAGTTATTTTTTTGTTTGGTGTTTTGACAACACAGAAGTGCTTTCTCAACCTTTTACCCCAATTTATCTGCTAATTGGACTAAACTGCAATGTTTTATATTGCAGCCATGCCTCTTCCAGACACAATGTATTGTAGTCAACAAATCAACATCCCTCCTGAACTGCCAGACATCCTCAAAAACTTCAGCAAGGCAGCCATCCGCACACAGCCAAAGGATTTGATGCTGTGGTCTTCAGCGTAAGTCTCAGTGGTCTGTGGTTGTTCTGGTATAGGGTAGGGGATACATCTGTTTGTTTCATTTCAACCTTATTCTCTTAAACAAAACTATAAACAGTATCTCCTGACAGTATCAGATTATAAAAAGCAGGCCCTTTTCACCTGAATATTTCTCATGTTGGCATTGACGAACTGTAATTGGATCCCAAGGGCATCCATGTTGTGGCAGCAGTTAAACTAGGACTTTTGTAAACAGAGAGGAAAAGCACTTGACAAAATTATAATACATCAAGAATTTTTTGTTCCCCTAAGGACTGTCACATAATCTGCTATTTTATTGGCCAGTGTAGTGTTTACAGCAACAGATAAAAATGTGAGCCATATGGTGAAAGAAAAACATTTCAAATGTCTCCTGGGTTACAAGATGTTTATATGCTGTTAAAGCAACACCAGGCGCTGTTTCCTTTAAGGAATGCTGAAAGTCACACTGCTTCTAAATGTAAACATTATTTCAACTGTGAAGTAAGATAAGCCACAGTATGCCCTTTAGTATGAAAACGTATCACTTCACACATAGGCAAATAAAACATGATGATTTATTCAACTGGTGGTGCTCATGAGACATGAACTTGGACTAATACCAACTTGTTCCTCAAAGTCCATAGTCTCCTTTTATCTCTCTATTTGATTGTCATGCCTTGAAAGCAGTGAAGATGAGGGACAGGAAGGGTAAAGCTAAGCACACTATAATATGTTAATCATGTGTGTGTTTTCTCACAGATACTTCAATGCACTGTCAAAAGATGAGTGTCTGCCTGTCAAGGACAGGCTGGAGATGAATGTTGCCACCCAGAAAACAGATACTGGACTGACTCCAGGTCTACTGAAAACTCTGCATAAACAGGTACTCACTATAGCAAGACCACAGCTTAAAGAACCAACCATATCCTATTTTACTTCATTTTATTTTACTTTAGCCGGTATTTTGGATCATTGCTATGGATCAAAAACAATGTATCTCATATTTTCTAATGGTAAATGGACTTGAGCTTATATAGCATGCATATACCTGCATGTAACAACTACTCATTCACACACTGATGGTAGAGGCTGCTATGTAATGAGACCATCAGAAGTAACTAATCCCATTTATACGCATTCAACAAAGCAGAGGGAGCAATTCAAGCTTAAGTGTCTTGCCCAAGGATCGAAGCCTCGACCTTCCAGTTGAGAGACGACAACTCTACCAACTGAGCCACAGCCTCTGATGTGTGTCTGCAACTGTGCTAACTCCCTACTATATGGGCTATTTTACGAGTTTAATTAATAGTTGCATTAAGCTTAATATCCACAACTGCTTACACTCACATTCTTTATGTTGCTGTCTACACATGTGGATTATTAAAATTCTATATTATCGCAAACCTATTTTATCTCACCTCAGGCTCCTGGTGTAATGGATGCATTAAAAGAACTGAAAAATGAATCCTCAAAGGCCAATAGTCTTAAACTTGTGAGGATGCTGATCTATTTGAGTTGTAGTGCTACTTGTTACAGTAACACAGTTATTAGATTTTTTTAACTATTAACTTTTGATTTTCTGTCTGCTAAATGTTTGGCAACAAAATAAGCATTAATCAGAAAATGTAACATTAGCACATAAATATCTGCATATTAGACCAGCTTGGGAATTAGCTCCAACTCTTATTCATCTGTTATTCATCTATCCTTGCCATGTAGATATTGTTTCCAGTGTATTACACCGTAAGTTGAGGAAAGCCTGCTGATAAACTGGTCATTAATTTTTGTGAGTGCCTGATTCTGAACGTGCTGCTTTTGATGAGAGGAAATATAATGCAGATTAACTTCTCATGTACATTTTTAACTGCCTTATTGTAAACTATTATTTCTCCCACCTCCATTTCTCCTTACCCCTCACTACCCCCATCCAATCTCAGCTGTCTCACAAGAAAACGTGCATCAAGGAGGAGCTGCGGAAGAAATGGAAGGGACTGTGTCTTCCCATGGACCAGTTTGAGACCTTACTGTTACTGGGGAGCTTTGCCTCAGACATTGACTGGATGGAGTTTTTTGCCCTGTGCTGCAATTCTCTTGGAGGGGTGAGATGTTACACAAGACCAGATAAAAATGCTAACACCACTTTATACCACATCCTGAGAGCCCTTAAACCTATAGGGTTAGGCCTAGTACAGCTTGAGATCTTCACAAAAAGCCTTTATTGTTTATCCAACTGTCTAGTCTACTAGTATTTAGACTTTATCCAGACATCCATGATCCAGACTTCCAACACGGTCCCCAGGCTATGACTGAATAAATCCTTCTCTGACTACTTAAATCTTTGCAGTACTATTGAGCCAATGATTTTGCTTCAAAGTTGAAGATAGAGCAGACGAGATAGATTAAAGAGAACTTCTGTAGGCACTTTGCAGATGAATGATGACTTAGAATCTACAAAAGCAAATCAAGTTAAGCATTAACATTATCTGCTCAGTGTCAGTAGATTGGAATTGGTCCTGTTCTGTATGAGCCTTAAATCCCTTTAACCACATGAGGGCAGTCATGATCTACTTTGATTGGGCCGTTTTGTTACTGTGAGCTAGTGTGTGCATTTAAGTGTATTTGCAGTATCTGCTTGTGATGCTCAAATGTCCTTGATCACGGAATGACTGAATATGTATATTTTGTGTGCCTACTGTCTGCTTCTCTGTGTCTTTTTCCAAACTTCTCAGACCCTCATGAGTTCTCTAAAGTTTGCCTGTGAGATCCTGACAGAGGATGAGGAAGGTGGTGCTGCTAGAATCCCTTTCACCACCTTCATCAAACTCTACACCTACATGGCACACTTGGAGGGAGACATGCCACAGGACCACATTAACAACTTCCTCAGCAGCCTGCAGGCTCAAGTGTAGGTGTTGTTTTGTCTGTTGTTGTATTTGTGTGTGCCATTCCTGTCAGCTGGCAGGCTGTCAGTATGCATATAGAAACAATGCCTACATCAATACTCCCATTTAGCATAAGCTGTATTTTTTAGGCAGTGAATATGATGGCTGGTTTAATAACATTAAGAACAGAGATGTCACCCGATCGCTTTAGCAACAATCTTATCATTTGTTTCTTATTTTACCTTTACCTTACCTTTAGCTCCATCCTGAATCCCTTCTTTTACTTCTTTTTCTATTAGTATTGTTAGTCATCAAAGTCATAATATCTTAAAGTGCAGTTGCATTTTATTAAGATATTAACCTTATTTTTCACCAATGTATTCTGACTCTTGAGATAGATACCAAGTCACCAAACGTTTGATTGGGTCTAAATTTTATGTACTATATACATTGTACAACCTGTAAGAAATTATCCACTCACAGTGGGATTCTTAGCTACAACATGTATTTCAATGTCTTAGATGTTTCCCTCTTTCACCACACCTGATTCAAATGAATTGGTCATTATCAGGCTTCTTGATGAGCTGATCATTTGAATCCGGTGCGGGGCAGTGGATCCCCAGGCCCAGGATTGAGAAACACTGTAGTGAGGGACAGTTTTACTACAATGAAATGCAGAAAAATTCACCAACAACAATTTTAAGCCAAAGGAATGCTACCTACCTATATTCTTCAGTGCTGACTCTGGATGTCCCTAGAACTGCTGGCCCAAACTTCCTGTCAGTCAATGTTGGTAGGCTTAAAGGCACAGACAGTTTAAGAGTTAAGCCAGTACCCCTGGCCTCACATGATGCTGTAAGATAGTGATATTCTCTATGGTTCAAATTCCTATTTTGCTGAGCACTCTGCACTGATTTCTTCGCCCGACAGCAACAAGCAGAACGGCATGATTCAGGTTTCCAACTTCTACATCAGCAGGAAGTGAGGGAAGGAGACACGCAAAGCAGTGGAAGGCAGGAAGGAAGGAAAAGAAGTAAAAAAACAGCCGTGTTCAATTTATAAATTGGCCCACTAATGCCTTTTCAATCACAGCTGTTTGTTCATTAACTAGAAATCGGCCCCATTAACTGTAAGCATCAGACACAGTGAGTTATTGTTCATCATTGTCTAACTAAACGAGGCTGCTACTTTCAGTAAGGTTGGAACCTTTAATGAGCAGCAAGAGAGGCACAAAGCTGCCTTCCACAAACTGTCAGGTGGAGTGTGTGTGTGTGTATGCTTTTTGTTGCCTGTTCCCTTATGTCTGTGTTCGCCAAAGTACATTTATCATACACACAGTCATATCAGCTTGCAGACTCACCTCATTTGGCCTCTCTGCGGGTGGATTCATTCCGCCCAGAAGAAGAAAAGAGGAGAGGTTAGGTGATAAGCTCTGAGGGGAGAAGTGCGTGATTTTTAGCTCGTGTTAAGACCGAAAATCCCTCTGTGTTTAGTCCACTCCTCCGTGCAATATTGTAAATAGGCAAAAACAAATGCACACTCAGACAGGTTTATTACACTAGTCAGAAAGCACAACATCACAAGCAGGGCCAAGAAATCTCTGAGGTAGCACACCAACACGCACACACAAATGCATCAAATCTACGAGTCAGTCTCACTGTATCCTCCTCACTCAATTGTATATCCACACAGGGGCAGAACATAGTCTTAAATAGGCACAACATGTCACCCTTTTCTCATGAACATGTTTTCCTGCCTGACACACATGTACACACACAGACTTGTGGTTGTGTCATTTTCTCGTATATTACATCTGGCAGGACAGGAAACAGGATCAGAGGGAATTTGCAGTGCAGGCACAGTTGGAAGTAGGTTTAAAGGGTGGAGGATACACACACACGCATGTACACACACACACACACACACACACACACACACACACACACACACACACACACACACACACACACACACACACACACACACACACAGACACACAGACACACTTAAGCCTACCCCTTGCAGGGTTGTGGCTATGACTGAGTCAAAGGGGATTGAAGGACAGATAGAACCTCTGATATCTTGATAACTGTGGGATCACCACCCGTATGACACAGCAGAAAAGGAATTTTGTCAGGGCTTAACACAGAAATCTCTCTATGAACTACACAGTTGAACTTTGTTATATAATATGTTGAAAATAACACAGCCTTGATTTGAATCTGCTCAGAAAACTGAACTAAAATACAGGAAATTGAGACTTTGATGGACATTGTTTCCATTTAGGTGGGGTTTAGAACTGAGATTACCGGAGAGAAGATTTGTTTCCAGCTATTAACTGTCACATTAACAATAACTGTGAACATTAACTTTGTATACATAGTTTTTTCATAAATTCCATTACAGAACAATAGCCTTTAATGCATGAAGATGTGTATGAACAAGGCTTAAAACTTGCAAGTTCCCCCTCAAAATATGGAAAAAATAGACTCTTGTTCTCCTCTAATCATCTGAAACAACTTTCTTAATGTTCTAATATTTCCAAATTTTACCATTTCAAATTGAAAAGTGACATGATCCTTACAATACATTTGTAGACCCATCCTCACATTACTATGGTAGTAAAACTTGTTTGTACATGCACTCTCATGTACACTGGATCTTACAGTACAGCTTTGGATCAGTATGCTCCATTGTTTTGAGATACTGGAAATTGGGAGGGACATGATGTCATTGCAAAGATGTCAGTGGTTTAGGAATCTCAGCTCCAGGGTGGACCTTGTTGCACAACTGTTACTGCTTCTTCAAGCTTTCCTCATAACATGGCATCTCCAGGGACACGACAGATCTAGCAGAGCAGTGCGAAAGAGACAACAGAAGAGAGTGGACACAAAGGCTCCTTTTTAGCGTTCTGGTCTGTAGCTGTTGTGTAACAGACTTCAGGGTAAGGATGAGGGAGAGAATGACTCACACTTTATTGTAAATAACATCAAAACTGTTTTTTTACTACTGTACTCTTTAATTCTGTTGATAGAATTAGAAAATATATTTTTAAAGGTCACATATTATCCTTCTTATTGAGCAGTTTAAATAAGTATCAGAGGTCCCCAAAACATGTCTGTGAAGTTGTCAAAAAATCCACTCCGATTCTGTAATTAATCATGCCTATGACCCCCTCTATTTCAGCGCCGCTCAGAACAGGCTGTTTCTGAGTCTGTAGCTTTAAATGCAAATGCGCTGTGTATGACCACACCCCCTCTCTGTAATAGGGATGTGGCTCTGGCTTTCTTGCGCTGTGCCCTATCATTTACAGGGGAAAGGTAGGCTCAGACACCTAGCTGTGGGAGACCCACCCACCTGGGGGAGCCGTTAATGCCCTTTGTGATGTCATGGACATAAAATCTCCAAACGGCCTGTTTGCGCACACATTTTTCTGAAGAGTGTAGCAAGCAAAAGACAGAGAGGATGGACTTTTCTCATTATTAGGTATTTTTGTCAACAGGCTAGGGACACATATGAGTGTTAGAAAATCATGGCAAATGGAATTTTGCATAATATGTGACTTTTAAATTATATAACTACATTAGAATGTGTAGCTGGTCTCTGCTGATTAGATTGATGTGTATTTGTTGTAAAAATAACTAATGAAAAAGATCATGATTTTGTTTTTAATTCTAGAATGAGTTATAAATAGTTATGAGTTATAGATTTTCAGTTGCCTATATGCTGCATGCAGATTGCAATGTACAAATGTTCACAAATTCTAAAAAATATACTATATTTGCAGGGAGCTCCAACATGGGATGATAAAGCCTCTGGACTTCATCTATCTGGATGATATGGACTCAACTCCTCCTGAATCATCAAAGTTTGCCAGAGCAGCATCGAGAGCGGAATAAGAAAGAGCTAAAGGTTTTATGGTGAAAGATGAATTAAATCCCAACAGATCTGTTTTTGAGTGCATGTTCTGCAAATTTTGGTGTGCCCTGGAGAGAGCGGTAGATGTTATGCCATGGACATAACCCACAGTTTTCTAAAGAAAAGTTTTCAAGCCTGGATCTGGTTTATCGCTCTGCACATACTTAAAGCGGAGGCAGGATGAACAAGCACAAACCTCCAAGGTTGTTTATGAAAGCAACCTGTCAATCAAGCCACTTAGCATTTTTCTTTTTAAGTCTAATTATCTTCTTAATGGAACAATAATCTCATAATCCCAACTGCGACACACACAAGCAGATACAAAAAAGAAAAGAAGCAGAATTGATTAATTCATGAACACTGTAACATTTTGTGAGAAATCTACATTACTTCTAGAGAAGTTGGTGGATTTTTCCACGGATGTGAAAAAAATCTGTTTCCATGTTGCCAGTATCCTGGAGCAATTAGAGGAACTGAATTTTTAAGACACCTCCACAGTGGCTTCACCATTCTGAGTCACTTTTACAAGAGATGTAAGAGTGTATCATTTGTTTTTCTGTGGGAAGACTTGGACTTTATCTTTTGGCTTTACCTTTACATTACTGCACAGATTGTTGAATTCAGTATTATATTTGTATGTATTTATTATGAAACACATTTGTGTCTAGGGTCTAAGAACAGGTGCAAAATAAAATCAAATACATTAATTACATTTATCTGGCTTTATTTGGGAATTGTTCTTACACACATGAACACACATTACAAAAAGAGCGTAATCAAGGGCCATTGCTAGCTGATTAAAATGAGTAAATTACATCTTGTGGACGATATAATTTCTCCTATTCAACTGACAGCACCATCTTTCTCTGTCTCTACGCTGAAGTGTTGTCTGTCCCTGCCTCATTAACTGATTAAGCAATAATATGAAGAGTTTATAATCAAGCTATTAATAATCAGGACATTAGAGGTTTGCAGGGAAGGGGAAAAACAACATTCTCAAGCAAATCCTCTTCAACACAAGCACCCCCGTTAAAACCCTGACATAAACAGTTTCACCATCACACACATTCAAACCTACACAGCACAGTGCTTGTGTCAAGAGAGGACTCATAGGGGATCTTTGTATGCTACTCCTGCTGCAGTTACACCATAGAAGGTCATATGTTCTTTAAGTGAATTAAGATTCAGGCATATGTGAGCTCCACTGAGAAGGGTCATGTTAGAAAAAATATAACATTACAAAAAGCCTTTTAAATCTGCTTTACCTGACACAGAACAAGTAGTCTTAGTTTATGCACCGTTTTGCTGCTTTGCACAGATTGTCATTTTTGCTGATAGTCATGATGTATTTAAAGCAAACATCTTGGAGACATTCTGGAAAAAAGAAAACATCAACCCCTTTGCTACTATTTTTAAGTAACTACATGTTAGCTTTTCAATAATAATCTATGAGGAATTCTTAATGGCTGTTAGGGTAAGGTCCTCATAATGTAAAATGTGTTCGATATATAGTTTGTTATATGCTTAGCTAAGGCAGCATGTCCGCATTACTGAATTAAGACTAATATGCCATAACATACTTTTTTGCTTCACAATAGATGCACCCTCCGCTTGATTAACTCTTCAAACAATTTGAAACAATATATTTGTTTTCCATTACATTGGACCCATTCAAGAACAAATGGTGTCGACACAAATACACAAATGTTTTGCCAAATGGCACAGCCTAAAAAGACAAACAGGTCGTGGGTCAAAAACAATAGTTATAGAGTGCCCTAAGTACTTTCAGAAGGTAGTAGTTTAAATGGTCCTCAAATTGTTATGGATCACGGATTGAGTACAAACCTTATCATTACATGACACAAACACACTCATACACACATGCACGTGCGCGCGCGCACACACACACACACACACACACACACACACACACACACACACACACAGACATTGAGATTATCTGTCAGGCGGATTTCCATTTTTCTACTGAGATAATGTTATTGACTCTGCAAATGATGGTGGTGCTGATGTTGTGCTATATACAGAAGGTGAATGCATTACATCATAGGGAAAGCAGCAAATCTTTTTTTTTTTACATGGCTTTGTTGTGCATAGGACACATGGGAAGGTGGTCTTGGTTCAGGTCCTCATATCAGCAGGTGTCTGCCCTCCTGAATTGTCCTTGAATGAACCACAATTTTCCATCCAGCTGCCCTGGCCTCAGACCTCAAATGAACCTGCATGTGAAAAATCTAGTGTAGCTGAAGAGTTCTCATCCCAAATGGTCTGCTGGTCCTCTTAATCAGTATAAATTATTACTTTCCATTTTGCCAAGGCTGCATGTAGCCCACCAACCCAAAGTGGAGTGTGAAACAAAGCACAGTGGTTGACTTGAGTTCATACAGCTGTCTTACTATTGAAAGAACAATAGAAAGAAATATAGAATCAGGAGTAATAATAAGTGATACAAACATGGCTAGGCTGATTACAGTAAAGTCAGGGTACTTGTAATATTGTCTATTACAATTTCCAATGTTGAGGACTTTGAAAACCTGATTTATGTAATTTGATTTACTAATCTTTCAGTTGTATACACTCAAGCATTATTTGTCAACTTCCTTTACTCTTGTGTAGAATCTTTTCCTTAATCACAGTCCTATCTGATCAAGATGTATGATAAACAAAGCAAAAAAACAATGATATCAAAACAAATATTTCACTTAATGACTATAAAATGTGTTTCACAACATATTTGCATTGTAACTTCTTAAAACTTGCACACAGTAAAATCCAATTGTGAGCAGTACAAGACCACGCTGTGCATTAAGGAGGTAATGCACAAAGTCTTTACATCTCAAATTGTGTTGAAAATCTGTGTGACCTCAACTTTTTTTTTTTTTTTTTACCTATAACTCTAATTCAAACCAAAGATGTGCTGTTTGGTTTTAGTTTCGCTTTCTTCTGTGATTTTGTCTGTGGTTTGACCATTCGGTGAAACTTTTCGCAGACATTTGTCTCTGAGAGGGAACACTGGCTCTCACCGACAGCAGCAAACAGATACCATAGAGATGGAAGAGCCACAGGAGAGCACGACTCTCAGCTGGGGGTAACTAAAGGTATAATAATAATGGGCACACACTGGGACTGTTATGCACTCGGTTTTTCCACAGCAGGTGCTGTCAGCAAACTGACTTTATTAATTACGCAGAGAAAAAAATCTTCTAAGTAAGTCCGCCATGGTTCTTTAACTTACAATTATCTATGTTTTTCATTTCTACAAAGCAAATGATTAGTGTCTCCTCTCACTTTACACTGTTTTTAGTTCATAGTGAACACAACAGGCATAGGACATAAAGGGCCTATTGTGTCATTTTAAAACAGGACACAAAGGTTTAGGTTGAGGTCAAATGCTTTGTAAACCTCTTAGCCCTGTCTAAACATATTTAGGATACTACCAGTCCTCATTCACGGGTTAAGGCCAGATCTACAAATCCATTAAAGAATCAGCACCAAGTGAAGAAGCGCTATGAACTGTATTTCTATATTGTCTATACAATAAAGTGGCAAATAAAATGAAAGCAAGAGTTGTTGGCAGCTGACCAAAATGAAGGCTATAGGTGTAACATACATGATGTCATACCACTTTTGATAATGTCTCATGAGCCCATCAGTTTCAATCTTTGTGCTTCTCACATTATTTGAGTGGCATACACCTGATTAGTCGGTAAATTGGTTTGCTCTAGGTATGATACAGTCGTGGTATGACTCATAACAGGATAGCACTGAAATGTTGGGTTTCCCCAGTCAGCTGTCATCAATCTGTTGTGTTTTCCCCACACCTAAGGGTGTTTTTCTTCTTAAAAAAGGACAGAGGTAGGTAATTTTAGTTTCAAAAATGGGTGAAACCCCTCAAACTTGGAGGAAAGATGCGTAAATATAACCATTTCTCAAAACCAAAAAAAGTTTCTTGGGTTCTCTAATTAAGGATAGACTCTATGAAATCTTTGCAGTTTAGTAGGCTAACTTTTGATGTTTGTTTTAGTAGGTCAACATGGGTCCTTTACACTTATTCAGAAGAAAAGGAAGAGAGTCAAAGCATAAAAAAAACTGCCCTTTACTACTGTTACTTTCAAAAAAGAAAGTAGTCCAGACTACTTTTTGAATCTTGAGGCTCCGAAAGGTATGCCTATATGAGTATTCTCAGAGAGAGTGAATTAATCTCCTCTCAGACAGATAGACAGAGGGTGAGTGAGAGAGAGAGAGGGGGGGGGGGGGGGGGAGAGAGGGAGAGAGAGAGAGAGAGAGGTCCCAGTCCCATCTAATCGGATTAGGGGACTGTGGGTTAACATGCTGCTGTCTCTCTCTCTCCGCCCTACATTGGACGGCCGTGTGCGCAGCAGTTTAACTTTCTGTTTCAGCTCCACGTAGCTTTTTGCAAAAGCGGAGGGTGTTTTCATTCATGTGGTCTCGAGGCGGATAACCGTCAACACAACTCAACGTGGTTTCGTTTTGGACGCGCGCCACGTAAGAACAAGAGTTTAGTGGGACGTCCACGGACCAGATGGGCAAAATGCCAACAACTCTACGAGGATGACTGATGGGTAAACTACACGCGCAACACGCTCATAAATTGTCTGAAAAATACGTTTGCGTAATTTAAGCTCCTGTAAGTGACTTCTTCAGCGACAGTTCTTGTCTGGAGAGACACTCAGTCCCATGTGTGCGCTCTACCCCGAGGACGGTGCCCAAGACCCGGGGGTTAGATGGTGCTTATAACGGACGACAGGGATGGAGGAGGCGCTTTGCCTGGCCGGGTCAAACAGCTCCACCAGCAGCAAAAAGTCGGAGGAAACATCCCTCAATTCCACCCGACTATAGCTGACTCGGACGAGGACTATCTTGGCTCATGCGAGGATGACGATGAGGAGGACGACGAAGGGGAGGACGGGGATGATGAATTCGAAGAAGTTGACTTCGAGGACTTGGATGACAGTCGGAGCATCGCGTCGGACGACTCCTTCTACCCGCCTGATGATGTGTTCGCGGACTCGGAGCGCACCCCGTCCCCGGACGGCCCGGAGCCGCTCTCCTTTTTCCAGGCGTGTTGCAGCAACAACGCGGCTATCGTCCGGATAATGATACGACATGGAGTGACGGAGGAGGAGGTTAACGAGAAGGACAGGAATAACAGGGTAGGATGCAAATATGATACTTAGGCCACTTTGTGTTAACTTTGAAGTAGTCCAGCTAACAATTTCAAGAGTCCACCTTCAGACAACTCGTAAACACATTAAAACACTTGCTTGTATTTTGAAAATGACTAGTAGGCCTATTGGTGATAAACAAGACATTTATGATTATTTTTTACTTCAAGTAGCCTACCCTTTTGGTGGTAAAATAACTAGTAGAATTAGACTAGTAAGCCTGCCCTAGTAGGTTATAAAAAGTCTTACACATGAGCACTTCCTAATCTTAGCACTCTACCACCCTGAAAAGCATCTGAGACAGTCCTTCACCTTCCTATTACTCAGTGCAACAAGCCTTAGACTTAAAAGGTATTGAAATAATTAAGACTCAACTTGCTGCGCTTTATAGAGGCCATGCCTCACTGAAAACTTCATAGCATCAATATCTCACTGTCTGCGAAAGGACCACCTTTAACTTGATTGCAACAATGCATCAATCATTATCAGTTTACATCTCAAATATTCAGCTGATACTGAATTAGGGAAAAATACTTGAGAGTTTTGTTTACCAATTTGTAACTGGGTCAGCAGCACTTTAAACCTAGTTGCTACATGTGTTTTATCATTTCATCATCTTGAATCATATTTTAAACTGTACATGCATTGATTTCTTGGTGTGGTGACTGACTTTATATTTGAAAAAGCTCTGTTAAAACACTTAAATCTCATACCTTTACCAGTACACACAGTCTTTTGGATGAGTGTTTGTGTGTTAAGGAGAGACAGAGAGAGAGAGAGAGAGAGAGAGAGAGAGAGAGAGAGAGTGTGTGTGTGTGTGGTCAAGCTTGTACATTAATGTGTTTATGAGTGAGCATCTGACTGGATTTTCTTCTGGATTTGAATTGAACTTGTTGGAGGCAGTAAAGGTAAACACATAATCTACCAATGAGAACACAGCATTCGTGTGTTAAAGAGTACATTTGGGAATTACCCAAACTGTTCAGTTAAAAGCACAAAGGGAAGAGTAGTAGTGCATCTTTCCTCATTAGTAGACTTTAGTAAGCACTCATATCATAGCAGTGTGAAATCATTTTGTACAAATCCAAACTCAATGTGTCGATTTTGAATTAAGCTGATTTTTTTCCACCTTGTCTATTGCAACACTCCTGCCAAAGAACTTTAGCCCAGGGCTAGGGGATAAATCTATAAAGGTCAACTGTAGACTCCTTTTTTCATTTGGACAGTAGAGTTTGAATAAGGTGACAATAGGCACTATGGTGGAATGAAATCACGTCATAGTGTTCTTTGTACGGTTAGTTTTAAGTTGACCATTTTGTTCACAAAAGATGTGACCGAGCCTCTTTTTTCATTACCAACAAGCCACTTTATAGATCTACATTATGGAGCAATTTAGGGCTGGGCAATTTATCAAGTTTAATTTTCTATTAGAATTTTGGTTTCCAACAATCATTAAAACAAGATAATTGAATCTGTGCTCGTTTTGTCCATAGGTTTTGTCATGTGTGATAAGTGTTTTAAAGTGTTTGTTCTCATATTTGGCCACAAGAGTACATCACCACTACCTCAAAACAAAGTTAATTTATTCATCAATCATTTTCATGTGGTACTTGTTAGTGTTATAGTGGAGGCGCAATGGTTAGTGCACATGCCCAAAGTATGGAGGCTGTAGTCCTCCAAGCGGGCGGCCCAGGTTCAAATCCCACCTGTGGCTCTGTTTCCTCATGTCATTCCCCACTCTCTCTCTCTCCCTGATTTCCAACTCTATCCACTGTCATATCTCTCCATTAAAGGCACAAAAAGCCCAAATATAAACCATTGAAGTGTTAGGAGTGGTTAGATTTGATGAATACATGTGATGCAGATGTCAATAATAATCATGATTATGATTTTTGCCATAATCGAGCAGCCCTATGGAACATCACCATAGTTCTCTAACATTGTCAACAAAAGGGTTTTAGAGAGATTTGGAGTGCAGAGTTGTTTGTTTGTTGCAGTTTCTGAAAGAGAGTGTGTTGAAATCATTCACTGCAATCAAGTGTGCCTTGTTTCATAATGACCTTTGCGTCATACATTTGTGTCTCAGACCCCATCTGTCTTTTTCTCTTCCATTGTTTTATGTTTCCACACATCTCCAACTCTTCCTCATTCTTTCTCTGTATGTATGAAATCACTGATGAGGTCGTGGCAAAGAGAGGACCCCAAACAGGGGATTTCATGTTGTATACTCATGTGTTTTAGAGTCTGTGTGTGAGTGTGTGTGCGTGTGTGTGTGTGTGTGTGTGTGTGTGTGTGTGTGTGTGTGTCTGTCAAGCAGTTACAGAGAGACAGTGTTTGCAGGATGCACATGTACTCAGACAAAATACAGGTTAGGAAACCCGTCCGTTGGAAACACATATTTATCTGAATCTGTTAAGCTCATTAGAGTGTGTGTGTGTGTGTGTGTGTGTGTGTGTGTGTGTGTGTGTGTGTGTGTGTGTGTGTGTGTGTGTGTCTTCAACATCTTGACACAGATGTCATCATTCTAATATAGCAGATAGCCTGCCAATGTGTTGTGCAAGTTAAAGAAGGGTGTTCATTTCCATGGTAGTTTGTTTTTCATTTGGCTCGTCAGAATTTTAAAGGAGCATTTCCAGTATATTGTTTCGCTTGGAAGACAAAGAAACTTTTAACACAGCTTTGTCTATTTATATTCACAGTCTTTGTAGTAACTTTACGTAAATGGTACGGCTGATATATGATACTGTTGCAATTGTATGGCTGCACCCAACATGTACAAACATCCATGCCTTTTGCAATTTAAATGTGATTAAACATCTAGAAACAAAAGTATGTTTTAGGATTACCACTAATAAAAAGACTTTCAAAATACTTGGTCTTGATGTTGAAGGATAACAGGCAAAAAGATGCAGAAAAGAAGGAACATTTTCCTCGTCAACCCCGTTGTTTTGATGAACACAAAATAATCTGTCTTGATTTTTTTGAGCTCCCCCTCAACGGGCAGAATGACCACGAGTAATTGTGTGCTTTTCATTCACAACAGAACCACAGGAAATGAACACCGTGGTTTAAAGTCAGCAAGTAATTACATTAAAACAATTTAGTCTAGAAAAAACAACAGGATAGGAAGCAGCAAGAACATTTAAAATAGCCCTTATGGACAAATTCCAGACTCAAAAAGTATAGATTAAGGATAAAACGTGCATTACATTTAGAAAAACAAGTAAATAGTCTTTAGAAAGACTATTGAAAAAAAATCCACACAACTATCTATACAAAACACTATAATCCTACATTAATAAAATACTTAATGGCTGTTTGAGGACAAGTTTTGTGACTTCTGATAAAGCTGATCCATCAAAATGTATATTTTGTCCTTAAGGTTTATGTCATAAACCATCAGTAACATGTTTTCTTTTTTTTCCCAGCGTGTTTTTGAAGCTTATTCTAATTACATTGAGACCAAGCTATTTGAAAAGCAACAAACTGAAGCATACTCTCCGCTGCATAACACAGTTGTAGTGGCAGGATTTACTGGAATCACGACCCCGACATAAACCAGAGAAACAGTGCTATCCACATAGAGAATGGTGTCCTGTATTATCAGAAGACAGAAAGAGACAGTTCATTTTTTTAAATTAAATTCAGCCTGAATGTGGGGCACCGAGAGCGTCGTGGTTAGTGCGTGCGCCCCATGCAAAGAGGCTGTAGTCCTCCAAGCAGCAGCCCGGGTTTGAATTTGACCTGTGGCTCCTCTTCTGCATGTCATACCCCACTCTCTCTCTCTCGCTCTCGCTTCCCGATTTCTGACTCTATCTCACACATCTAAATAAAGACCCCAAAATAAACCTTTAAAAAAACTATCAGTCTGAATGCTAAAATGTGGAACAGATGTTACATATAGAGTCATCATTGTTGGTCTTAAGTCAGCATGTGTAGCTCCTCTTGTTGTTGATTACAGTTAAGTTATTTTATAGCTGCAGGGCGGCATCAGAATCACTACATATTCTCATGGTTTGATTAAGGTTGATGTGTGGCATCACATTTCAACAAACTATTGTTTGCTGTTGTATAAAATCATACAGTCAGTAAACAGGGCTGCCAGGATGTCTAACATTAGATGGCGCGTGTGTGTATGTGTGTGTGTGTGTGTGTTAACATTATACATCAGATAAAGAAATCAATGTCCTCAGGTCCTTCTGACCCTGTTTAGGACAGTGTGTACCCCCTGCAGTGAATCTGATAAGATGCCATGCCCACATGAAAATTAAATAAGTACACACAAACACACACAGAATCCAATCAAGTTAAATGAGGTCACTCTGTGCCTGACTGTTACCTCTATCTCTCTCTCTTTTCAAACACACACACTCCTCTAGAAAAACACTCACATTTTCTAAACAGCAGATACAGTACATTACATTTCTGGCAGCAGGCAAAAGGCCGTAGAGTGTGAGACGGAAACAAAATTCAACTGACCAACACACACATTGACCATCAGGCGGACAGTCAGGCTGACTAACTGCAGTTCAGGAGAGAAGAGACATAAATTGTCCACCACAGATGGTAGCAAGCATGAGGCTGCTAGCAAATATAGACGAGTGGAAAAATCAAAGCGGCCGTCATACTCATCTGATTTAATGCAGCCATGTGAACGCTCAGCTGCAGTCACAAAGACAGTTAACAGGGAGGCTATTGATGGACACATGGCCATACTGTACGTCTGCAACAGTGCTTCTGTGTGCATGTTCGTCCTCACAAAGATGTATTGTACAATACAAATCCCAGAGTAGGCTGCAAGATACAGATTGTCTGCTGCTTGGATGATTAGCAGGTTTTTGCTTAAATGCTATTTATTTAGAATAAAACAAAACAAGTTCTTATTAAGAAAACAAGTAGTGAGTGGATATGTCCTTTAAATAAGTCTAAGTGTGTAATCCTCAAGAAAAGCCGGCTCTCGGTCACTGGGTTATTTAACCAGGTTTCTG